TATGTTGAGTATTGACAAATTTTCAATCCTTCAAAAGTATTATCGTCCCTTAACAATCTAACTGAAAACCTTAGTTTCAAGTCAATAAACTAAGTGTCATATAAACAACACGTTAAACTAGTGAAGGAAAAAACTGATCGCACATGGCTTAGTATATAATGCATCAGCTAATTCAAGTCAGTGGAGTAAAATTTGTCCAATAATCTATTTGAATCTCCAAACTTGTGGCAAAAAAACACTGCATAATTGCTTAGGGGACTCTGATGATATCGCTCAGCGATTCTCAGTAGCATCTGAAACATCAGTAATCATTCCATATTTTTAAGTACTTTCACTATAGGACACTTTTATTATCAGTAAATTCTCATGGAATAATATCTGCAGTGGAAGGTAGATGACATGACCCCCATTTATGTGTTGAATACGTTTGAACTCGAACGAAACGCATAATATAACTTGTGATACTGACTAAGTATAGACTATGTATAGACGTAGACCCGATATATCAACCAATAAGAAAGATGATAAACGACAGAAAGGTCAAAGGTCAAGCAGAAGAACAGCCAACAGGAAAGTCTATACAATCATAGACACAACAATCGACGGAAACAACCAATCACAGACCACATCGTCAGAGCAAGCCACTAAATCACTCACGGACAGATACTGACAGCTCACTTCATATTGAAGTTAGTGCTGATGATGTCGTCTAGCAAGACGATGAAAGCTTCACGATTAAACAACCCAGCTCAAAGAACACAATGCAAGCAAGATTGTCAGTGAATGGCTGAAGGAAATTACTTACGGCCTAACCAGTCTTTCTGCAAGCCTTATTTCTGTCAGCTCAGTAGAAGCTAAATTAGTCAAAACTTGTGTCATGTAACATGTAATTGTTAGCTACATTTCTCCAACCAAATGTACAAAAATATTAGGCCTCTTCCTGGATGAAGAAATCCCATTCACTGTGACGTTTACCATGCATATCCAACATACTTCACTTTATTGTGAAAGATATTTCAAGAATACTCTGCAGAATTTTCAGTATGTCATATTACATCACGTAAATAGAAACAGTCAACATGTATACACAGCAAAATGAAACTAGTAGAAACTACTCATAAAAGATAAAAACACTCACTCCATCAACACCTTTCAGGGAAATAGAGTTTATTAGGCAGGCAATCACATTAACAATCAGATTCATAATACTTAAACAACAGGATAATCTGTCATCTCTAATTAGTTTGCTTTCAGAAATAAAAGTTGATTAGTTAGCTCATTTGAACGACTTCCTTCATCACACTGGAGATAAGTTAAATACGGTAATGTAGAGTTCATCCTTTGAGTAGTACGTGCACTAAATCTTATGCACTTCCTCCTGGTCTTCCCTGACGAGTGACATACAAACAACTTTGAGTAAAGCGGATGCTGTTCACCTGATAAAATAACCCCAATCAGATATTTACATATATCAATATGTTTGTTCACAACTGTTGTTTTAACTAGAGGGTTTAGCGGTACATCACTAGTTCTGTTGTCAATCTGCAAGGTTCTACACAATACAGCATAGTGTTTTTAGTAATCCAAGAAGGAATAAAAGGGGAACAATAGAGGACAACGGGGAAGATGCAGGAGTCCATAAAACCCAACATGAGAGGCTGAGTTATACCAGGTACTTTCAGCTTCCTAATACAGAAAGTAAGGGGGGAGACTGTTTTGGAAAGTAGTAATATATGCGATGACTGGGAAAAGTTCGAAGAAAAGCACACTTCGATATGAGTCACATTTTCAACTTTCGCTGATGCGCGACCATCAACAGACGTGGAATCATGAGACTCGAGCAGTTTACATGAATTATTTTCACATCTAAAACTGAAGATTAAAGTCCGATATTTTGAAGAATTAAGCACGAGATCATTCACAGAGGATCATCGTCAAGCAGCAGATAGAAAATCATTCGGTTGAAAGTAATCTGTCGCAGAGGAGATAGGTATGGAAGCCGTTGCATCACCACCACATTTGATGAAATTGATGCCAGTTGAAGAAGGTAAGTCAAGCAGAAAGAAAGAGAAAAAATATGGGGAAAGAACGGCTCCTTGGGCAACACTAGTCACAGTAAGCAATGAGATGGAGCTCTTCCCTCTATGCAAAGTATGTTGTTTCCTCTCAGAGAAAAAGGAATACATCTAACCGTTTATTCAGGGCCCAGTATGACTCCCGTATGGCTTGTCTAACAAAATGGGTGTTGGGACAGAATCAAATACTGAAGTTTAGTCTAAAAAGGCATACCTGGCATACTTAGTGTTTCTATCAAGATTACGAGCAATATTGAGATATAAGACAGTGTTTAGATTCAGAGTGCTTCTTCTGCTTTTATACGAAAACTAATTAGGGCTCCAAAGGTCTTCACTGAGGGTTCAACCACAAGGATTGTTAGCTTCTACATTATTTTCAAGAACGGGGAGGTAACTACGGTCGGAAGAAGTTTGGAGATGCACTCGGAGTCCCTGATTTACGTATGGGGACCCTCTTAATATCTTTCTATGTAGCTAATATGTTGTTTTCTAAAAACGATCTATTGAACATGTTGGCTAATGGATGGCATGAAATACGAAGCTTGACATACCATCCGGACCTAAACTGTGTGAAGGGTTCCTGGACTGGAGACATTTGAAAACATCTTTGTCGGTGAACTCTTGACACCATTCTTCATTGGAAATCTGTGGACAGTGTGAGATGGAACGGGTTGGTTGGTGTAAAAACGATTTGTTCAAAGCACAGATGGCAACATGTGAGGTTTTTAAAAGGTTTTTACATGCTGGGAGAGCCCTTTTTGTAAGAATCTTCCATGGATTTCATTAAAACTCTCATTTTTCTCAGCATCCAGAAACACAGCAAGCTTACAATGAATAGACTGTGTGTTGCCGAGTCTAAATCAATTTCCGTATCAGTTCAACACCTAATACTCTAAAATCTTTCAAGGCAAGAAGTCGTTGAACAATAGTTTGCACTTAAACTAGTTATATAAAGCTAACGGAATATACGACTGAATAACTTGAATAGTTAGAAAGCAGTCAGTCTGATCTGAAGATTTCGCAAGTCAGCGCAAAGTGATTTAAACAGCTAACAGCTATTTCACTCACACAAGGTTGAGTTGAGCGGAAACCCTGTTGATATCACAGCCGAGCCGAAATCAGGAAACTAATAAGCTATAAGAAATTTCGACGTCGACTATTTAATTTTATAAATCATTTGCAAAATGATCATCCGGTTTAAAGAATATCAACCCACTCATGTTAGCTTGCTAGATTTCGTGGATTTAGTCGCCTTAGGCATTACGTAAGAACCAATGAGATTTAGAGAGATGCTTGAATATCGAATTGTTTCATCTACTTTTCATTTAGATCAAATTTTATATTAGCCTGGGAATTCTCCTTGGATTACAATGAATTATACAAATTCTTGGTTGTAATTGTTGAAGTATATGTAGTGTGAAACATGGAATACTGACAAGAACATTTGTTCGTTGAACTGGGAAATATACTTTGTATGTACACTAGTCGGAAGAATTTTAGCTTTATCCTACAGATGGCATTTCAACTATATTTTCTAAACAAGTCACTTAGGTGTTATTCTGTATAGATGCTTAAAAAAGACTCGTGTAACCTTTATAGTTAGTGACTACTGAGGTACCAATCAAATCGAAATGGTTTTGTCACTTTGAAACACGAAAATACATTAGAATGAAGAAAGTTACTTCAGAGCGAACACGTTCATTAAGCCGAAGAGTGAACATTTTTTTTACCGTACTTACTTCATCTATTTCCTTCTCTTCAGTTTAAAGATGTTAAAATGGGTGCAATATTATGAACTGTAGTATTTCTCCCCTTTTAGATAACATTCGCTCAAAAAAGTGTGAAAAAGTGTCAGGAATCTCATGATAACATAAAAGTAGAATCCTTTAGCTTCAGGACAACCGTTTACGTATTCAATTTCTTGACTTAATCTCGGTATCCTTCATCAAAAAAGAATTTCCTAACACAGAACGATGAACTAAGGGATATAGGATAAGCATTTCCTTGAGTGGAAATATTCAGAACAACAGGCCGTTTGAAACTCAAGTAAAGTAAAGGAGATTAGATTTATAGAATGAAATGAAATCATCTTTTTACTTGATGAATATTCCTCAGCTGAATGCAATCTGAAAGTACAATGACTGTCAAGTAACATAATTTAGTTATGAAGAGAATTATTTGAACAGTGCGGTAAGAAGTGAAAGAAAGGAACAAATGATGCTAATTTTAACCATAATGAAACAAGATCAAATTGTAGTCACTATGGAATTGAAAGACTCAGCACACTGCCCTTTTGTGTTCATAGATCAGGTTTAAAACACTTTATAGTAGTTGCTTCTGTAAAGGCTAGCTGCCTAGGTATTTACTGTCCACTGACTATTTTAAAACCATTTGAATTACCAACCTGATGCCCCGAGTCTATGAGGTGTCTACCGATCGCTTTAGTTAAAACTCTGCTTGTTTTCGGCTAAGATTATTTGGGATATGCTCAATGAACCGAATGGATGTCCTCCTATCAATCCTTGCAATGTACTTGCTATCGCGAATGCATATGAATTTATAAGTCCGTTTCGAGGTGACGTGAAAAGAGTAATTACCCACTATACACTAGTGCATAGTGCACAGAGTATAGTTTACTGATATAAGTTTGGCCTTCTGATAGCTCCTTTTTACTGCTCTCTTTATTCTCATGTCTGTTCTGTCGGCAAGCTCAGCTCCTCTGAACGCATGATAAATAAAAAAGTTTTTTCTTTTTAACAGTTGGGTGCTCATTATTCTCGACCTGATGTGTTATTGGAAATAATTGGTCAGGTTAATAGTATCGCATAAATATATAAAAGTAAAAATAAATCTTTAATTCCCTTGTTGTCTCATTTGATTTAAACTACTATTAGTATTTTATTGTTGTTTGTATTCCCTAAATAGGTGGTTGCATTTGATTCAGGTGAGCCTAGTTTATCAGCTTCTACAAAAATTCATGTAATATTGGATGATATCAATGACTGCGTACCTACATTCTCTCAGTCTGAGTATAACTTTACCATAGATGAAGATTTTATGCAAAATTATACTGGATCAAGGCTAATTGGCATGGTAACTGCAACTGATTGTGATATAGGATTAAATGGAATGTTAATCTATTCCATTCTTGATCCTGGCCTACCATTTGAGGTAAGTTGAGGTAAAAAAATATGTTTTTCTAAACTGTATGTGACTTAATGACTAAGATACAGCCACGAAGCGCAGACTCGTCTAAAGACCATTGTATTTTCCTGTACTGAATAGTTGATACTCAAAATATGGTTATTTATATCATAAACCAAGTGGTCTCTTTCAAGTATAAATTATATGAAACTTCCCTGTAGTGTTCATTATACTTCCTCTATATTTTTTATAAAAAAATGATAATAACGGCTTTATTCTGAAAGATATTTCAAGAATTCTCTGCAGAATTTTCAATATATCATATTACATCACGTAAATAGAAACAGTCAACATGTATACACAGCAAAATGAAACTAGTAGAAACTACTCATAAAAGATAAAAACACTCACTCCATCAACACCTTTCAGGGAAATAGAGGTTATTAGGCAGGCAATCACATTAACAATCAGATTCGTAATACTTAAACAACAGGATAATCTGTCATCTCTAATTAGTTTGCTTTCAGAAATAAAAGTTGATTAGTTAACTCATTTGAACGACTTCCTTCATCACACTGGAGATAAGTTAAATACGGTAATGTAGAGTTCATCCTTTGAGTAGTACGTGCACTAAATCTTATGCACTTCCTCCTGGTCTTCCCTGACGAGTGACATACAAACAACTTTGAGTAAAGCGGATGCTGTTCACCTGATAAAATAACCCCAATCAGATATTTACATATATCAATATGTTTGTTCACAACTGTTGTTTTAACTAGAGGGTTTAGCGGTACATCACTAGTTCTGTTGTCAATCTGCAAGGTTCTACACAATACAGCATAGTGTTTTTAGTAATCCAAGAAAGGAAAAAGGGGGAAGAAATGCAACAGAGCTGCAATCATGAAAACTAAGCAGTTTATATAAGCTTTGTTCGCATCTGAAACTATAGATTACATTCTAACCTTACGAAGAATTTCATCACATTCTTGTGTGAACACAGTCACTCCGGAGGTTCAATGAAGCATCTAAATTGGCATCATAAACAGGTTTTTCTTCAGACACCTGATTTGAATATTCACTCATACGTTATATAAACAGTATTTTGTTACGCAATCGCTTACACAAATCAGTTAACTTAATAAAATAAGACTCATGGTCATTACCCTTAGAAAGATTTCGTCATATTCGTCCCATGGCTATCTTAACAGTTTTAAGGTTTTCAGTCAAAGTGATTTCAGCCAAAAACAAATTTAGAATGCCAAAAAATAACTTGCAATTCATAGCTTGTGAATCTCCGCCTTTGATTGGGCCGAACTGACCGTCACTATTGGCATATCGACTTCTGTATGAATGACTAATTATTACCGGTACTTTTAAATTTGATGTTATTGATCAACAGTGGCTAGCAGGAGAATCCAGGACATGCATGTCGTCTTATTTACCCCTTCAGTCTTAGTGGAAACAACACCACTCGCTGAGAGGAAGTTACATCCACCTGACGAGTCCTTAACGGGACGAAACGCATGTCCTAGATTCCCCTGCTACCTACTATCCATTACTTTTAAAAATAACTGGTTAAAAATGGGGTAACTAACCCGATTCAGCGATCACAGCTCCTCACAGAACTTACTCATATCAGGATATTCTGTTCGACTAACCATCATGTTACATATTTGTTAGAATTAAACTTGGAAGAAATAAAATTATTCAAAGGAACACCAAAATGTCGATCTAATAATGTAAAACAAAGATTAAATTGATGAACATGGAAGTTAAAATGAAACCAGGAAACTATCATATAACTAGTCTCCTCTTGTTGCAATTACTGCACAGTCACCATTGAAATACATTTCTCTGTTAACATTACTGTCTTAAGCTGCTTTGCTTCTTCCTAAATCAAAAATTTGGGTTGTTTTCATTAGTCTGAGACAAGTTTAGGTAAATATTTCCAATAATAAGCGGGTAGGATTTCAACTTTTTCTGAATGGCCGACGTTTAAATGTTTCGAATTCACTACTATTCAGCCGTTCAAGTTGTCTTTGCAGGAAATCGTAACAATCATCAGTTTTCGAACCAATCATATAATTTCATTTTGTGCAGTTGAGTGTTTTGTTTCGTCATAGGTTAAGTTGCAGTTCACTCACCTTCCAACATTATTCTAGTCCTATCTAATTACGCTTAGTAGGTCAGCTATGAAAAAGGCTATTTGACATTTTAGTTCCACTTTAATTTATTCACCAACTATACCATACAGAAAAACTTCACCGGGTTTTGTAATCGTTCCGTCATGTCTTATCAGTCTCTGTTAAGACAATAAAAAGTCATCACGAAGATTGAAGTATATTATTAGAATACCAATACACTTGTACCAAATCTTCTGGATCCAGTAAATTATTTCCTCTGATTAAGAAAGTATTCCAGAGAAGGCGTTCGAAGAAGAGCAATATTACTCAACAGTATTAAGGAATAACTAACATACTGCCATTCAAAGTTAAATGATTTATGATGGTCTGTTGGTCGGTATGTTAAAAACTATGTTCCTCCTGTTTGTAGAAAATGAACCATTATTATCAAACAATCGGTATCCTTATAGATCATCAAGCTAGCTGTTTGTAAAAACCCGATCAACTTCCGTCTGAATCCAATACATAGGTGGAAACACACTATTTGGATCAAGGTCTACTGAGGCCCCCTTGACTTCTCAGTAAAAATTGTATTAAATATCACTTTACTATTTCCAAGCCCTTCGTAACTATGTTTCTCCTAAGGTGGCCAAATACCATTCCATAGTGACGTGTCAGGTCATCAACATCTAGTAACAAGCGAGGGGCTCTAAAGTGGTTTGGTTATTCGAGTTGCTGGTCAGGAAAGCCTGAGGTGGTATGTACACTAGCGAATACCGGTCGAGCCTAGTTACATACACGACGACAAGCCTCTACACGGTCCCACCGGATTCTAATCAATATACTATCTAGTTGACTTAACGAAAAAGGCAGTCGATGAGATCCTTAAGTGATGTCAGTGGCGAGAATCAGCAAGGCACAGAAGGACTTGTGGGCTTGGTCCAGTTAATTAGTTCTGGGAACAGTGTACCACAGAAAAATTAAGGGAGTTTATCGTCCTAATTCTGGTGGTCACTGGTATTTAAGCAATCACAAGAGAAGTGTTTATGGCTTACCTTGTGAATGTAAGTGGTATCTATTCCTAAATGATACGTACCGTGTGTTGTAGTCGTCCCAAAGGGATATGTGAGTGCCCCAGAGTGAGCCTTTGGTGAACCAAAGGACTGAGGTGGGTTACTTCATGAGGGTGTACTGCATCACTGTCCGTAAGGTTGTGGACTATCATCGAGACGTAGCCCGGGTACCTTCTGCCCAGGGTGAGGTAAATACAGTCAACAAGCCAAACATTCCATGAACGACGGTACGTTGAAGTCTGACGGATGGGAGGGAGGGTTCGTTTTCATGTGAAGTCTTCACTGATGGATGGTTCCTGCAAGATGAGACGATCAATCACCCAGGTTCAAGAGACGATAAAGTCCAAGCAAACGGATGTTCTGCCTGTGACTGGGAGCTGAGCCGAAAATTGGAGTAAAATGTAACTAGCTCGAGAAGTGACGTTTATTACCTACTCGTGACTATGAGTGTACCATAAGTTAAGCTTACAGTCCATGATTGAGTAGCTTAAAGTCTTGATTTTCATGCGATACAACACAGAAATGCTGACCAGATGTTGTAAGGAGTTCGAAGAAAACAGTTTCCAAATAATGTATAGGTAGCATAGTACGGTAACACTTCAATGAATTACACGAATTCAGACAAATAAGTTTAATACTGAAGAATCTTTGATAGTAACATGTTTTTGATGTATAGAACTTACAGCCTGTTCAAAATCTATAGGTTGTCATTAACGAAACCAATACATTAGGCTGACAACGTTGACAATCTATTACTTCAAAACTAAATAACATAACAATTAACTAGTACAGATGGAGAAGATAAAACTGTATACAACTATACAACTTTTAATGCTTACAGTTCAGTTACGGCTTTTTTTTGTCAAACGTTAATGCATTCACTGTTAACCGAAGTATAATGATAAATTTAAACTATAAATTTTTATTAACTTACAAATACTTACTTCTTTGCATCTCTCAACGTAAATTGTTCTAGAATGTTGTTTATGTTTTCGTTTTGATTGACAAGCTAGAAACTTTAGTTTCATCTTTAAAAAATTATTCTTATATGCAAAGTATATGATGGAGTATTTAGAAATGTGATAAGTTTTTAGTATTCAACATTTGTCAAGTAAATATCGAAAGTGTCTCTGCATGTGTATGTATAACTGCTAACTGATTATTCAACAAAAGGTGAAGATTAATGAGACATTGAATCAAAAATAGTAACCCTCAGTAAATTATTGACATTGTAAGGTAAACTATTATCAGCCTCTCTGTTTATTTCCTTCTTTATTTCTTTATCTTAGAAAACCTTCATGCTATAAATCATTATAGGAGGTGTATTGTTTAAATAACTTTTCACTGCTTAATTTGAGTGAAATAAAAACTAAAAAAGATTTTTCTTGAATCAAAATTGTACAGAAATTTGTAATCTGATGGTTTGTTAAAATTTGCTGACTTCAAGTTGGCATTCATCATTGACTGATACCAGTTGGAAAACCATCGTGAAGCCAAGAGCACCAGATATAGCACTCTTCAGCAGCATGCACCCATGACCCGGCCAGGTCGCGCTGCGTTGTGAACTAACAGGACGGCTGAATCCTGACCCAGTAGCTCATTGGTAGTATGGTCACTGAAGAACCTAAAGATCCTGGGTTCTACCGCTGACGGAGTTACGGATATCCACTGCAGATAAGTTGGATACTATAAGGAAACATCTGTTCAATGCTCCAGTGTTTTCAACTGTTCTCTAACTGTTGTCACCCTATGATGAAATCCTTAAAATTTCTCGCTTTATGGTTTAACTATTCTTCTGATTCATCTTTCTAAAAAACACAAACTAGATGTCTTTGTTTAAACATAGTACCAAGTGTATGAAATCAGTCGACAAGATGAATTTTTTACTGCGTGAATTCGAGTGGCTGACAGTGTTCCTCCGCCAGCAAAACATGCAATTCATCGACATGCAGTTAACTTTTGTACCTGCCAAAAGATAAATGCTGTTGTGTTTCATGCGTATAGTTACCAGACTTCCAATTACCACAACGTCTCTGATAATTACCAGATTTGCGTGTGGATAACAAATAAAATAATCAGCGTTATATGCGTGTTTAAGGACAGCGGTAGAAACCATAGTCTCCAAAGTACGAAATCATCTTGAAGTAAAATTTATAGTCTTGGAACTCTTAGATTTTAGCTGGATAGAGGCAGTCGGCAGGAAACCTCAAACCTAGTCCTACTGAGAGTCAATCATGGCCAGAATAGATCAGTGGTAACTTCTCTGAATGCAGTACCCGGTTTGAATCTCAGGTGGGACGTCAGTCCTCTCGGGGTTGCAGATACCTCTTGCTGAGGAGTTTTAATAAGCATAAAACCCAAGTCCACAGCTTCCTGCTGATTGCCTCCAACTAACTAACATAGCCATATTGAACCAAGTAGCCTTGCAAAATGTCCAATATAATTCGATCTGAACTTAGGTCTAGACAACATGAAGTTGGTTGCCCACCAGTGACTAACCAGTGCACTCTTAGATTTCTTGTGAATGTCTAACCATTCTACTATACATTATCTCTTGCTTAAAGACTGTAAATAAACAAATTTCTAATTAATTACGAAGTAACTATGGGCATTATGATTTTTCTTTACGTGACCATATATCTGTTTCCACAAAATTAATCTGAATACAATGTTTATAGAACTGGACATCTGTAGTCAGCGCTTTACATTATGAATATTTATGAACAGCAATGCAAATTAAAGTGCAGTTTTGATGACAAGTCATTCAGGGACTGATATGTGAAATTTACTCGCACTCAAGGTCGTGAAGCCTTTGATGGCTAGAAAGTTTTGGATACTTTCAAAGACGATTACCATAATTTTATTCAACCGAAACAGTTATTGAAAACAAGAATGCATTTCTTAGTTAAATATTCATTAGAAGTTAGTATTCATGTTTTTCCTGATTGATGAGCGTAAGATAATCGTGTCACTTGCCTGGATTCTTCCTGCAGAACCGAAATATGTACGTCATTAGTTTATCATCATCTGATCACTGATATCTAAACTGTTGACAAGAATTCTGACGAAAATGAATCCACAAGGTTGTGCTTAGGCATATCCGAAACATATATTAAGTGATCTTATTGTTCGGAGGTATATCAGCCACAGGACATAGTTTGGAATACTTGCTGGACATCTTGTAGAAGACTTTTGCTACATTCTCACTAAAAGGAGGAAAAAACAGGTGCTAAATCCGTGCTTTGTCAGTTTACAGGGCAGTACTGATGTCTACTCAAACAACTTTCGTATTCTTGTAATGAAAAATATTTTGGGGCATTTTGCAGGGATTTATTGATTTGTAGTTCGTATTCATCATGGAATGACATAAATTGCTGAGATATTGAAATCTGGGAGCACTGAATAGTTGTTTTGTCCCAACATGGGACACCTCAGCAGTGCGCACACATGACCCCAACGTCCGTGGATCGAACCCAAGACTCTTAGGTTCGACGGTCAGTACGTCTCTATTCAGCCACTGGGTCAGAATTCGATGGTTCAGATTTCTTACTTCTGTCAGTCCGTGACATAGAGCAATCGTCGCCCAGTATTATAATCGAGAATTTGTTCTCATATCCGCTCGGTTTTCCCCACCGGTTACTACTTCTCATTGTAATATCAGGAGTTACCTCTCGAAGCTATTCACTAATGAGCACTAGATTAATTTAATTTAAGGTGTTTTGTGGGGACATTAGCTAGAGAAACACTAAAATTTGAAAGCACTGGACAGCTATTTCGTCGTAATATTGGACTGCTCAGCAGTGCGCACCTAGAACCCTGTCCTCTAAGGATCAGTTCCTTTCTGTGAACTAAAATGACATTTAGCGTTATTTCTCATACGAATCAGTAAACATTATCGTGTTAAAATGTCGATAGGAAATATGCACGAGAAATTCTAATAATTCTTTGTTAACTTAGATAATGTTTTAGTTCATATAAAAATAAATAATGACATTTGAAAGGGATTCAAGTATACATTGTTTTTCTTATGAAACTTTGTTCAGGCGCTTCTCCTTCTATTTACATTTTTACAATAATATTCACGTTTATCTAGTTTATTACGAAGAGAAAATAATTTATTTCATAACTACAAAAAATTAGAAAAGTTCAGCTTTTTTTTCTATAATTTTGCTGAAATGAACATTTATCACACGTGTCAGCAACACAAATTATAAGGTGAAGCATCGATTTTCAAGTGATGATTACAAGCTGGTCGTCATTTTGAACAATAAGAAGAATTTGTTTATCAGTAAATCTTGTGTGAAATTCATCAGCTGTTATTTGAGGTAACATTGTTCAAACTATAAGGAATTATAATTCACGTGGTCATGTCTAGCAGCGAAATCCATGACACAGGTTTCTTACTTTTGGAGACTCATCACAGGGAGTGACATTGTTCCCTCTGAGATTCGAATTCAGTACTGTTCGCTTCAAACGCCTAAATGCTATCCACTAGACCACTGAAGCACATACATTGTGCTGACGAATCTCAAGGAGGACGAAACGCGCACCCTGGTTTTCACCGCCAGCCATCAAATAAATTATAATATGATGAATATTCAGGCTATATGGAAGCATTTATAGAGGAGGCCATACACCAACAGAGGTCGATCCATTCTATCCAGTATAACAGCACAGAATTACATGTATCGACAAATAATAATATCAGAAAGTATGATCGTCTTCGTTCATGACTCTGGAAGCTAGTTTCATGTCACTTAAAAACTAAACACCTCTCATAACTTCACTTCTTATTTTAGTCGTCAGTATAAACATGTTGTTATATGCAAAACAAACATTGAGAATGTAGTTAGTTAATCTTCTAGATTGTCATGAACAAGACAAATATTTTGTCGAAATTTTGACTGTACACCTTCAAAACTCAAGTATTACTATGTTAAGGATATACTGAGTGCTATGAGTCCCTGAAAAGTTGAATGTCTGTTTATGATGCTCAGTTTGCACCCAGATTTCTCGTGATATATCGGTGATGTTCATCAGCTAGCAGTTTTGCAAGTAGAATAATTGTGACAAAGCATTTAATATAATTCAACCTCTTTTAGTAATTCACATAAATTTATAGCGAATTGAATATTAGTTTACCAAAGATGTACCAATATGATTGAACTAAGAAACACACTTCAAGAGGCCTAAATGTGTCCACATTCCTTGTAAACTAGCTGCGAAAAAAGAATTGTTCTGTTTGTGAGGCTTACGTTTCTAGGTGTGATCTTAAAAATATATGAAAACAATTTCACGATAATTCCCCATAAAGAAGTTGAAAAACGTTAAGACATTCGTGATATATGGTCTTATATTCTTTAAACTGAAGGCAGCGATTAATCGCTTTCTAAATTCAGCCTTGATCTAAGCCTTGAACAGTTTCAATTAAATATTATAGGAGATTCGGCCTTCAGCTTTTGTATTCTCCGCTGATATTTGACTTAAACCACATAAGCGGGGAAATAATAAGATATTCCACTTTAAATCCACATGGATTAAGTGTTTCCACATGGAACAGTTTTGATAATTTCCTAAACACTGGGTACCATGTGAAATGTTGACATCAGATTGCTATATCAAAAACAAGATATTCAGCGAAGAGGACTCTTTTCCTGTTTTTGATGTCACAATGGGAAATCGTTATATATTACTTCCTAGAGAAAGGTTGAATAAGACTACCATAAAAAGCGTTAAGTTGTTTATTTCAAACCCACTGAGAAGTTTATAAATCTAGCGTGCATCTGAATGTCAGTTATTGTTTGTATTGTTACTTGTATACACATTCAAAAATTTTAATCTACCTTTCTCTTATAGATCAATAACCATGGTCTTCTTAAGACAAATCATCTCATCGATAGAGAGTCTCATTCAACCTACCAGTTCACAGTTATAGTCACTGATGGCGGTGTTCATCCACCAACTAAGTATCCATCACATGAAAATTATCAAATTGATGACTATGAAGGAGAAATTTATGAGTCCATTAACTATCCAGTGAAATCTCATATAAAAAATAAAATTCATACAACTGCAGTTTCTGTTCGTATATTCATTTCAGATCTTAATGACAACGCGCCAATATTTGTTTATCCTAATACAACTGTATTCAAAGTAAGTTGTGATTTATTCAACTTTCTATAAGTTTCTTTAGGAAGTGTACCTGTTAAGACTTGTATTCTGAAGGGAAAAAAAGCTGAACAAAAGCCTGTTAACTAAATAAACTGACTTAATGAATTTTAATGCTCTGTTTCTTGATTTCTAAGTGAGTGTGTGACTGATGAGTAAAACGTTTTCGAAATATTCACATGTATGGTTTTATGCTGCTTAGTTTGATTAAAATACACCCTTCAGTACTTTTAATCCTTTAGACTTTAAACAGTACAACCAATAAGGTTTACAAAACATCTATTAAACTATCTCTCAGCTTATATACTACACGAAGCAGACAAAAGCTGATTTTGATGGCCACAAAAACATAAAACGTAGTCAGAAAGTATAATCTTGTGCTTACTACACTTAGAAAATGATACTTCAAGCAGTCTACGAAATGTTCTCATCGAAATCCGCAAGCAGTAATTATGCGCAGTATCTGCTGCCCCTCTATATCCAGAATTGTATCCAGAAAAACAACACCTTGAATGTCTTCCGTTCAACTATATCCATGCGAACATATGGACTGTTTTACGGCATGGAAAATATATATATAAACAAGACTCATTAATGCATTTTAAATTGTCATTATTTTTCTCTTCGGATCCTAGTGGAACATATGGCTTCAGTAGCACGTCTCCATTGCACTATCTTCTCGGCACTCTTCAAAACCTAGCTCCACGACTGCCCACAACCTTCCATTTCTTCCTCACATCATTTCCTCAGTGTCAGCCTCGAATGATCAGCTCTATGTTTCCCCCACGAATTCCATTCGAGGGCCTGGCCAAACGCCTGATGTCCCAGAATGGTCTTCTCAGTGCATGCCCAATCAATCTCCACATTCTTATTCTGCATATTTATTGGGTGATAGGATGTTGTTTGGTTCGTTGCCAGCCAGCCAGCCAGCCAGAGTTCCTTGTTGCTTATTCTTATTATTCTGGCCATCTGATCTCATCTCCAGTATCAAGTGAGGTTAGGTGGCAGCTGTTGATGAATATCCGTAGTTTCCTGTAAAAGCTTTTCGTGACGCACCAAGATTCTGAAACATATAGCAGCACTGACTTGACTGGATCGGTGTTGGAAATCCGGATCTTTTTCTCTGTGCTGAGTGGAGTGCATTAGATCTCCACACTGATTTCAGATTGATAAAGATCTGTCTTGCTATCTTTCCGATCGTGGTTTTGACATCCTCATCTGTGCCTGTGGCGCCTATAATTGAAACGATGCTATCTTACCTAGGTAGGTGTAGGTGAAAGAGGCCAGTTGCTTTACGTTTCTCCTGTTGATGGTGATTGTAGCTTGTTGTTGCCGTTGATGATGTTGTTGGTTGGGTATCTTCATCACCTCTGTCTTCTCTATGTTCACCTGAAGAAAGTCCCGTCTTCGCTGCCTCTCCTGTCAACTTAGTACTTTTCGCCTATAGATCTTCGAGTTTGTGTGACATTGTACATAAATCATCATCGGAGAAATCCAAATTCTCTGGGCTATTTTCATCGGTCCAGCCAGCATATGCCCATCTTTCGGCTCCTAACAGTTTGTTGAATGATCTAGTCCACCAAAATCAGGAAGATCATTGATGATTGTAGGCGGCAACCTTGTCTTACTCTCGTTTTCACTTCGAAGGCGTCACTGAACTTTCAATTGTGGATCACTTGGCATGTGGCACCTTAAAACAGCTGTTGAATGAGATTGATAAAGATTTGTGGCAGTAGGACGGTAATGTTGAGGCAGCTGCCTGACAAATCACTTCTCAGTCGACTCTGTCGAAGGCCTCCTCAATGTCGATGAAGTTGAGGTGGAGAGTTGACTGCCATTCTATGCTCTGTTCTATGATGATGCGTAGCATAGCGTTGCAATTTGATCCGTACATGATTTGTTCTTCCTGATTCCACCCAGCTAGCCAACGTGTTCCGGTCGTAGTTTTGAATCCGATGCATCTTTTAGTCGTAACATTTTGCTTCGGGTGAACAACAGAATGATTCCTCGCCAGTTCTTGCAAAGGCTGAGATCTCCATTCTTTGGGATTTTGACAAGGCATCCCTTATTCCAGTCAATGGTCAGGTAACTTTCCTTCCTTCCTTCCTTCTTAAACTTCTGCAGTAGTGGTGTGAGCATGTCCGCTGTTGTCTCTGCGTCTGTTTTCAGTGATTCTGGTGGAATTTCATCTGGTCTTGATACTTTCCCTTGAAGCAGCTTTCAGCAACTTTATGGCATTCAGAACTTCTGCTCCTGTCGAAAGGAACATGTTCACCGGTGGTTCTGTGGCTGCTGATGGTATTTTGGGAGGAGTTCCAGGTGGTGGTCAATTCAAGGGTTTTTGAAGTCGTCAGCCCATTTTTTCATATGCTTCTGCTCTTTGTTAACTAGCTTTCCTTCACAATATTTCATTGGTTTCATATCAGTTGATCTCTTCTCTTCCAGACTGTAACCTGGTTATTTTATGTAATGTTGTCAGGTCTCACCTACCTTCAGCCTATTCTGCTTCACTTGCAAGTGAGTCGTAGAAGTGTCTTTTATCTTTGCGTGCACACTTCTTCACTTATTTGTCGGGTGTCTTATAGGTTTTACTCAGTTTTTCTTTCGTTTTCCATCACCGTACTGCATTGGTTCATTTTCTGCCTCACCATCTTCCCCTCCCTGCGCTATCGGCTTCGATGTGTCCATCAAGATACATTCGTTGTCTTGTTTCCTCTTCCTTCTTAAAACCCTTATGCAGGTTTCCCTACACATAGCTCCCAAAGAGTTACAGTGTTCTTCCATACAGGTTCATTCAGAAATGTTGCTCAATATCTCCCATGTTTTGTTCTGATGGCTGTCGTGAAGATCTCCTCTGCAGTTTCGTCCAGTTCAGTTTCTGTTCTGGGTGTTCAACTTGAACTGTGGTCTATCACCAACTTATTTGAAGGCTTACAACTTGATTTTCAAGCATGATTCCTTCCACTATATAATGGTCGGAATCCACATCTGCTCCCCTTCTTCATCTCATCTTGTGTCTAGTAGGCTGACTGTCTCCACTTTACTCACATTGAGATGAAGTCGATCTGACATTTACGGTTGTGTGTCTGGTGTCTGGTGGAATCAAATCCGTGTGGCTCACCTGCTGAATATCCCTGTGTTTGTACACACTGCCTCCCTTCAATCACCAAATCGTTGAATGTGCAGAAATATGCTAACAGTTCTCCATTCTCATTCATCATTTCACTGAGTGCCTCTCAACCCATGATCACTTCTCTCCCTGTGTTGTCTGCACCCACCTTGACATTCACCTCACCCAACACATTAGAATGAATTTCGATGTCGCCATTTCGGGTGGCATCTTGTCAATTACTGCTCACAGTTGTCTGTAGAATTCCTCCTTCTTCTCTTCATCTGTGTCTGCATTATTTGTGTGTGCGTGGTGTAACCTTTAATGATTGTGACTTTCCTTCCTCTTGACTTGAATCTTGCTGTCTTGATCGTGATGCTGGAGGAGGAGACTGGTTCCCACTACATGAGAGAGAGTCTTCGATGCTGTTGGGGACATCATGATAGCCACTCGAAAACTCAGTGTGCTCATAGTTGTCGTGTGGGTGACAATGTTGGAGTAGATTATTGAATCTCCTCTCCAGTTGAGGGTTTGGAGAGTTCACTTCCATTCCATCTACTTTCACAGATTCAAAGCACTTCTATGTACTGAAATGCGGGAAAGCAGTAGGACCAGACGGGATACCGCCAGAAGCACTGGGAACAGATGCAGAGACAACAGCAGACATGCTCACACCACTATTGCAGAAGGTGTGGAAGGAAGAGAAGGTACCTGGCGATTGGAAGAAGGGGTACCTTGTCAAACTCCCGAAGAAGGGAGACCTCAGTGTTTGCAAGAACTGGCGTGGAATCACCCTCCACCGCTGTCCACCCCAAGCAAAATACTATGCCACATCATCCTGGAGAGGCTTAAGGATGCACTGGATTCAAAATGACGACCGGAACAGGCAGGCTTCAGGAAGTACAAATCATGTGCTGACCAAATTGCAACGCTTCGCATCATCATAGAACAGAGTATAGAATAGCAGTCAACTCTACACCTCAACTTCATCGACTTTGAGAAGGCCTTTGACAGCGTCGACCGAGGAGTAATTTGGAAGCTGCTTCGTTACTACGGAGTACCGCAAACTTTTATCCGCCTCATTCAACAACTATATGAAGATGCCACATGCCAATTAATTCACAATGGGAAGCTCAGTGATGCCTTTGAAGTGAAGACAGGAGTGAAACAAGGTTGCCTACTATCCCCCATGATATTCCTTATTGTGGTGGACTGGATCATGCAGCAAACAGTAGGCAGCGAGAAGAGGGGATAAGCTGGACCGCGGAAAAGAACCTAGAAGATTTAGATTTCGCCTATCATGATTTGTGTCTAATGTCACACAATCTTGAAGATCTACAAGCGAAAACTAACAAGTTGAAAGAAGAGGCGAGGCAGCGAAGAAGGGACTTCAAGTGAATGTAGAGAAGACAGAGGTGATGAAGATACCCAACCAACAACAAGCCCCAATCACCATCAACGGGAGGAACTTAAAGGAAGTAGTCTCCTTCACCTATCTAGTCAGCACTGTTTCAATTACAGGCGGTGGTGGCACACACGAGGACGTCGAAACCAGTCAGAATCGGTAAAGCAAGGCAGGCCTTCATTAGCCTGAAACCAGTGTGGAGATCTTCTCCACTCAGCATGTGGAACAACATCCGGATTTTCAACACCAATCCAGTCAAGTCAGTGCTTCTGTATGCTCAGAGACTTGGAGCGTTACGAAAGGGATTTCCAATAAACTACAGACGTTCATCAACAACTGCCTGTGTTGGCTCGTTACTGAAGATCAGATGGCCAGAAAGAATAAGCAACAAGGTGCTCTGGGAACGAACCAACCAAGAACCTATCACGCAACAAATATGCAGGAGGTAGTGGAGATGAATTGGGCATGCAC